AAATCCTTTATAATTTTATCTAAGTTTTTAATTGTCCAAACTTTAAAGGAGATGGTTTTAAATACAACATTCATAAACTTTAAAACACTTCCTACATCCTGTTGCACCGTTTGTATGAACTCAACTAACCAATATACTTCTGCGGTGGCAGCGACAAGGGTACTCTCTCCATCTTCGGTGTCAAGGTCATCCCTGACGCGCTGCTAATATCCGAGAAGTTCTCCCATTGTGCTTCAGGCATGGTATGGTTCCTTATGGTAACATCAAACTGCGGCGGCGGTGGCGGCACTTGCTTGTACTCTGTGATGAGTCGTTTATGTCTCTCTATATCTTCGATAGTCTTCTTTTCAGTGATCGTGCGGAGGAACACGTCGTCAACTACGTGTGATGTTATTTCTGGTTTCCTGCATAAATTAAATTACACACTTCAATAGATACATCATAACTTATTTATCAAAATACCGGTACTTTTAAAGTTCTGAAATGCATTGCGTATTTAACGAGTATATATTATACAATAGTGGTCCCAAGAGGTCCCCTTGTATGACTCTTCTAAGTTACATTACTATTCGTGTATGGGTGAAAGTAATGTCTATAATTCTACGTACCTGGCAGGCATGATGGGTGTCTCGGGGATAGGCTCGAGGCTCTCCAGTAGCATCTCCTGCTCCTCCGTCTGCAGCCGCTCGCTCACTAACACCGGCGGCGGCGGAGGAGGTTTCTGTAGATACCAATATTTGTTGCCAAGACTGACTCAGATAATTGTTAACAAACTTGGAAGAAAGCATTTAAAGTTTTTGCGAAGAAAAAGATATAGAGCATACTTCCATTGATACTGATGCCAACATAATGGTTAGCTTTATTGGAGGAAGATAGACATAAATGCTTTGTTTATTTCATTGGTTTTCTTGTAAAATAACATTTTAATCACTACTCAAAATTCTTTAATGGTCTTTGGGATGTGAGCAGTTTAGAAATACAAAAATAATGACAAGAGGAGAAAGATGATTTGAAAATATATTTGTGATATGCTAAAAAACCTGTCCAACTGCAGATCTATTTCTCAAATTGGGCTTTTTCAAGACGAGCGTAAAGAGTTACTTTCTAGCAAACCTGCTCATTCTCGACAACAACGTCTCTTATAGTCAGGAAAAATGTAACTACAGGAACGAAAGCAAGACCGTAATATAAAAAAATAGACTAAAATCATAATAAACCCATCACCAAAAAATTAGGATACGATATAAATCATGCAGCTGATGTAAATGAATAATGTTACTGACACAAAATGCCTTACCTTGAGATGGAACATCCTAGCATGGGTATGATCGGTGACTTCGGTGACGGAGTGTGTGTCTGTCATCTCCGTGTTGAGAGAAACGATCGAGCGCGGACGACGCGCCCAGTCCTGGTTAGTCGTGATGATTGGAATGTTAGTCAATGTGCGTTGACGACATGGTAGAAATGATTTAGAGCATTCACGCTCATTAGACAAATGACGACCTCGATGGCCCAAATGTGAGCGCCGGATGAGGAGGTCCCCGGTTCGATTTCCGGTTTGATTACAAAACTTAGAAAGTAAAAAGAAAATTTAGAAACGAAAATTCCGTAGAGATAAAAGTGATTAATGGACAAAATATGACGTATAAATTTCAATGGATGTAATGTAAATGTCGTTGGTTATTTCACACACAATGTCATGTTAAAAACAAACGTATTGATTTGATATAAAATGAGGATTAGGTATTAGAATAAAACGTTTTGTAACAATTTGATGGTACCTGATGTTATGCGAGCTTCTGATTAATGGATTTAGTTTCGAGTATACACTCGACACAATATAAATTTTATTATTAATTTTTTCAAATCTAAGTTGAACAACACTCCAATTTTCTTTGGAGTCAGCCCTATATATTTTCTTCATTCATCACTTTCAGTCATTCTTATTTGGATTTAAAAAATGGGGACTTAATCGCGTACACAAATATTTTATTTACTTCGACGTTTCGGACGTGTTCCAACGCACATGCACTTATAGAAAGAAAGAAACGTTGATATTCATTATTCATTTCTGGACTAGGGTTGTCACTAGACCGACACACAACACTCACGATATCCGGCGACTTGTCGTATGATAATTATATAGCAAAGACGATCAAGTACGGAAAGTTAGAAAAACTCGCATGCCTAGAATATGTTGATACCCGCCTCTTTAGCCCTTTCGAGACCATGGATTTTGCAACACATCCGAAACGCCGAGGTAAATAAAATACATCTAAACGCAATTAAGTCCCGTTTTTACGAAGTGAATATTGTGAGAGTTTAAATCAATGCATTATCTTATTGTTTACTCCTGTCATACACATAATCATTTTCCATCTAATCTATCCCACCATTTCTTTGACGATCACCCCTCCTTCCAGATTCATATTTAACACCTTCAAAACAATGTGAGTCATGTGCCTCAGCATTACATGTCCACACCACGATAAATGATTACTATTATTTTTTGAAGCTGGTACAAAAGTCGACTTACCGATTTGTAAACCTTCGGCGGTCGTTCAGGCGGTGGCAGCTGCGACCCGCGTGCGGGTAGCGGCAATGCCACGGGGGAGACCGTGCGAACGGACTCTTGTCGCTCGTGCTCTTCGATTATCATCGTTTGTCTGTGTTGAATACCACACAATTATAACATTATAAGCAAATTAATATAAATATAATAGACCACAGCCTAAAAGTATCATAAACATCGATCGATTTTGAACCTGACGGACGCCATTCCACGAAACTATAAAATAAATTGTGATTGTTCATCTAACCGATATCTAGGATTTTATAATACTCTATGTGACTAATTAGCTTTTTCGAATAAAACTGAGAAATGCTAAAGTCACGTGTTATGCTCAGTGAATTCAAAACTTTAAGACGCTCTCCTGTAAACTTGACAATTTCGACATACGATATTTTACGTAGGAGGGGTCGATAAATACCAATGATTTTTGTATATCAACTGAAGTAAATAGAACACTTATATATATATCTTCCTTTGTAAAAAAATAAATAAAGAAATAAGGCCAGTGTATACCCTGCCGCTCGACCCAAGCAAGATGAACCGTATTAGTACGGCAAAAAATTTAATTCGACCATAGGTAGAGGTTATGGGTAGTATCGACCCTTAAGAATAAAAAGTTAACATGTAACGAAGTATCATAAATTGACTATTAGTAAGAGGTCATTGAACTTACCTCATACTACCCCCGTCAGTTTCAATGGCAGTAATAGTGGACGGCGGAGATGGAGGCACGGGTGGGCGCTGCACCCGCACGCGGACGTCGAAGGCGGGCGGCGGCACCATCACCATGCCTGCAGCCAAGCGAGCGTTACCCGCTGACGTTTCGTGCGACTCGCCGTACCCTGTTAGTCGTTACGGTGGTGTCGTTAGATGGGTTAAGGGTTATTGAGTTATCATTTTTAGGATATAAGTAACGATGCCAGAATCGACGTCATTTCTCTGTGTGTTTGTTCGATATTTGTATCAATAATAACATCAAAGTTTAAATTGCTTTTTTAAACAGCATACCTACATATTTTAACTGTCGGAAAGATTCTGGCATATGTCTGGATATAGAATTAACTTTTAAGTCTATTTAGTACATAGTCAATTTAGTTTTTATCTCTTTATTTAGTTCGTACACAATGTGTACTACATTAGTAGTGGAGTCAAACGGTTGATTTTATGTTACCATGTTCTTAATGGTTGGTAAATTTTTTTAATGTTTATTATGTTTAGCATTTACAATATTTTTATTAATTGCGCATTATTAAGTAATTAAACGGTGGTAAGTCTTTAATCAGTTACATAATTATATATTAATTTAATTAATTTCACTCTGAGTTAAGTATTTATGTGTAGGTACGATTAACAATTAATTAATGGTAAGTAGTAACATTATTCTGAGTCATCTTATTGAAAAAAAAACGAAACATTGAATTATAGCATTAATAATGGTTGTTTCATTATTTTTGTTCCCGCCATGTTCGAAAGAAACTCATGGAATAATTTGTGGCGCCATCTTTTGGCACAATACGGAACTACGTAGTTGACAGTTGTCACGAAATGTTGTCATGTTGTCACGTCAAGAAATGCACATTTACATTTATCTTGTATTCTCTATCAAGGAGTTTCAAGTTCCTTACCTTCGCTATGATAAGCCTCTTCCAAGATGAAGGCCTGGTTTGTGTGCACCTGCTCGGCCTCGCTAGGGGTCTCCGAGGGGTAGTCAGAGGGAATCGTATCGGATGCGACACTGGCGCTTTCTGCTGTTACTGGATACACCGGGTGGGCTCGTGGGATCTTCACTTCTGTTAATTTTAATTTATTTCAAATTTAATGTAATTATAACAACTTCTTTTTTGTTGAAATGCATTGTCTTTTCACTTTTCATAAGATTAAAAACACAAATTAATGCTAGAAGAACCTATTTTATGGCTATAGTCGATAAAAACTTTTTTGAAGTCTCTTAAATAAATTGTGTTGCTATGGGGTTTTTCAATACGGGCATAACCTTTTTTTATATTTCAATAAAACACACGAAATACGTGAAATACACATGTTACATTTAATAATGGAATCAATTTCGTTCATATGACCACAGAGAGTACGTTAGCAGCGTTCAATTCATTGGAGCCAATTTTCCACCACTCTTCCACACATATCCACCGAAACGTAGGAAATTTCGCTATAGATATCGATCCTGAGCCCATTTAACTTTGTTGACTTGTTGACATAAGCCACCGACTTAATGTAACCCCACATAAAGTGATCCAACGGCGTCAAATCGCATGAGCTAGGTGGTCATTCGACCGGGCCTTTTAGCGAGATTACACGATTAACGAATATCCTCTTCAGTAGATCGATTGTTTGAACACACTGCAAACGTGCTCGCGGTGGTCATATGAACGAGATCCAATTCCATTCTTAAAAGTTTCAGTAGCTCGAAGTCTCAATTATTCTGTGTTTTATTGAAATACAAAATTGTCATGTCTTTATTGAAAAACCCGAAATATTATGATATTTTTTTAACACACATTTATAGCCCTAGGGAAACCCAGTATCGCGGATGACATGGACACACACATACGCAGACAACCACAAATTACACCGAAACTCACGAGAGAAATAAATGTCTATTTGATTAGCTTTACTGATTTTTTAAAAATAATATTAAGTGACGGGAAGAACAAATCGTATGGTAAGCTATACACCTATCCATAACAGTTGCAGTGCCACTGGGAGCTTTAAATCGCAAAGCTCTGAGGGGCACTGCCACTGCGCCCGTCACCCAGAGACATAAGTTGACAAATCCCATGTGCCTGTAATTTCACCAACACCCTTAACCCTTGAAACTTGGAACACAGTGATGCTGACATTATTGTCTGGCGGCAGAAATAGGTAAGATAGTACTTCCCAGGACGAACTCTTTCACAAGGAGCTACTGCTACTAAAACTCAAATTAACTTTAACCAAAAGTTCAAATAGTTTCCTTGCCTTGTATACTCTCTCCGCTAACAATAGACGCAGAAGACTCATCGATGAGTCTCCTTGGTGGAGGCAGCGCTCGTCTCCTTAGACACAGATAGGAGACTCCGAGCCCGAGCAATAGAAGTGTCAGGAACAGGATGGCGCATATGATCATGAGGATATGGGTACCCGCTAGAGGCGCCTTTGCGGGTAATGGACCAGTTTCCGGTCTGAAACAATATATAAGATACCACCCTATTTATTATAACAAAGTAATCTATTATAATATTTAGTGCTGTTTAATAACTATAAAAAACAATATAATAATAATAATATAATAACTTCACCATCTCAGTAAGCCATGACCATGTGAAAAAAAACAAATATATATATACATACGCGATAGGTAATATATCTAATATAATTGATAAATTTTAAATTGTATAAAAATGTATATTATGTCTTTTTTAATTAAATTCCGTCTTTATTGTCGAAAGTTACGAGGTTTTTAAGCTATGACAATTAATGTCTACGCGATTAGTTGAAATATAATCATTGGCGAACACGTTAAGAAAGAAAAAATGACCTGCTGGACTCTGCCTTAGTAACGCTTAATGACGTCATCGGCTGGTCAGTGCGCTTAGAAATAGATTTTTTCTGAAATGACTCCACTATTTTTTATTATGATTATTATGCTGCGACGAAGAAGGTTCTAAAATCTCTCGGTAGATGTCACTGGCGGTGCAGAATGCCGAAATGGTTGCTGGCCAAAAAATACAGTGGTACAAAGATCTAATAATTGTAATTTTTTTTATATTAAAAAAAACCGACCTTAAAAGTTAAATTAGACCTATTTGCCAAGTTTTATTGAAATCGGTTACCGGAGAGTACGCGAAACCGGATTCATCCCCTAAATTGTCACCCTTAGAGGTGGAATATTTTCTATAAATTTAAATGGGACCCATATTGAGCCTCTTTCTTACAAAAAATAATCATCAAAATCGGTTCACATACGTTATCGCGTAACATACATACAAAAAAAATATAGTCCAATTGAGAACCTTCTACTGTTTTTAAAATAGGTTAAAAATAACATATAGGTGATAATTGAGTGATAGTAGTGACAATTATTAACAACTAGTGGAGTAATTTCACATAAAAATAATTGAATATCAATTCGATCAGAGCTGGTAGCTGTAAAGGTATCTAACTGGCTGACGAAATATCATAGATTTCTCATAGATGGCGCTACGGCTAAAAAGTCGTTGAAAAACTAAACGCAAAGAACGCAAGCATATAGATAAATTCGAGAGTCGACTGGTTCCGTCCGTATACCGGCTGCCACGGTATGCTAGAAGACGTCGGTTCGAATCCGGCCGGATCGAAGAAATTTTTTCTAATTGTCGATCTTTGTATTAATAATTATAACAAACTAGTGGAGTAATTTCACATAAAAATAATTTAATACCAATTCTAAAAAATTTAAACATATAGGTGAATTTCAACAACTTGATAACTTGTAGCTCAGTTGATAAGAGCAATACTACTATGCAGTATGGTCGTGGGTAGAACCCAGGACCCCCACCGTCTCATCGGGTCGAAGAAAATTTTTCTACGTCTTCGATATTTATATTAATAAATTATAACAATACTTACGGCAAAATCAAAGGCACCGGCATCAGCACATTAGGAGGTGGGTATCGGCAGACGATGGTGATGATCTCGTCGCCGTCCATCTCCAGTCCAGGGTGGAACCGCACCACGATGTTGTTCGTGAACACGCGAAGGGGATCCTGGTATAATTTATAACATAAATCGAGTATATAACCAGAAATTGATACAAAATGTCATATAAATTTCAGCCAAATCATTACTGTGACAACTGCGCTCCGATTGGCTAGCCCGAATTCAAAACAATTGACGGGTCTCGTCAATTGTTTTCACTTCAAATTGACCAGTTTAACTTGAGATTTGCTATAATGGACGAAAATTGAAAAATTACATAATATTTAATATTTAATTACTGATGAAATGTGAGTCCGTGTATCGCATCGATTATGTAAACGATTCCTTTATGAGGAACTGTATACGTTTTTACAATAAGATTCCGGAGTATGTATTAAGATTATCATTTCCTAGTTCTAAACTTAGAACCTAAATTAAAAATATTTTGATTGAAAAGTCATATTACAAAATTGAAGACTACGTGTTAGATAAAGATGTATGGAAAGACGTCATGGCTCTAGATTCCATCTAAATTTGATTCAAAGTGTATTCCATAGCATTTAAGTTTATTTGAAAAGTGCAAAGCTTAGAGTTTCCCGTCGTTAGTCTCAGGAAAGTCCGCGTAATGAACGAGCAGTAGCGTTTTTTTTTAGTTTCAATGTGACGTTTTCAAGTGTAAATTTATTTTACCTATGGAATAAATGATTCCTTGACTTTGACTTTGATTGTGATGACGTCATGAATTTGCTGCATCCTTGGATTATTCGCCAACTTCGCCTGTACGTCTGTCTAGATAGAAACGGCCACCCCAAGCTGTATCCACCATCGACGCTCAAAGACATGTCTTCTTTACTAATTTGTTTTCCTTGTATTTTTAAATTTCAGCTATACTTCTTCAACTCATCGCAACACAATAGTGGATGCGGGTCACCTCCGCAACCTTCAATTTTTTGCAGTCTAGCCTTTCACGTCCTCTCTGCTCTGCGTCTCCAGCTAGGTACATCTGTCATTGCTCGAGCACCGCTTCTATTTGCCTAACCCGATAGCTTCTTTGCGGCAAATGTCACCTCAGCATTGTTTCCTATCTATTACCAGGTAAAGGGGATGTACGAAAGAAGCTTCCACACGCGACCTGCCATTCCTTTTCTGTATGTCCGGCCTTACGCCGATTGGCAAACCTATTCACCATGATGGCAAACATTATAGAGCATGCCGTCGATACGATAAGAAGAGATAAAGTTCGCTCAAAGATAGATATCATTCACCCTTACCTGTTTCGTACCGCATCCTTTCAACGGCAATTCGAACTTGTACGACAGAGCTCCCTTCCCGACGATCTTGCAAGCGGAATTTCGGTCGAAATCAGCGTAAGCTATGCCGTAGAATTTCTCGTTGAATTTTAACTCCATCTAGATAAACATATTGTAATTCCTTACAATCATATTGTAATTCCTTTCAATCATATTGTAATTCCTTTCAATCATATTGTAATTCCTTACAATCACATTTTAATTCCTTACAATATAGCTTTAGGGGATGACGTGTGGAGAGTTAACAAGAATTCTAGAATTTCTTTTAAACATGTGATAAACAAAAGCACAATCAAGAAATTAAAACAAGTAAAAAAGGTTTTTTCGGTTTACAATCTTAAAACAACAAACAAACAAGATAAGTAGTGTATCAAATTACAAGTACAAAACTGTTCACGCTCTATATGCAAAGTTGCAAGTTGCAATGATAAACCTTGCATTGTCGATCGAATTTCACGCCTATCTCTGCATCTATGCTATGCAGTAACTGTTATGGCAGTTACGGTTAACCCTAAACCGTTACCTTATTACTGATTTAACTGAGAACCGTACTGATTTAAATTAAACTTAACGAAAAAAGTAAAGTTAAAGAAACAGAAAACCGACAGTGTTTTGTTTTTATCTTCGATCAAATTCCATCGCCTTTTGTTTTTTTTATTTGAAATCGATTCTAATTTTGAACATCGTTACTTCCGAAATGTACTTTTTGTTAAAGATAATATATAATGAAAGACTTTCAATTAAAATTAAAATTTACCTGCATGGAACCTGCAGCACAGTTAAGGGCAGCTTTCGTACGGTTCAAAAAGATGACTGGACTTAACTCGTCGAGTTTTGTGACCTGAAAATTTAAAAAAAGTTTGTTTAGTTTACCTATCCCAAACAGGATTAAGTAGCTCATGTTTACTTTAAGAAATGTATAAATAAAATGGCTTTTTGGTTGAAATATTAATTGACCACAGACATTGTGAATTAAAACGCACGCGGATGACTTCTATGCTATAACGAGAAGACGCTGCACCTCCATACCAACCCGCCTCCGCGGTAGCACCCACGGACTCCAGACTGTTATCAACTTTATGCAGTCAAGGTCTCAGATAACGACTTAACTTTATGCAGTCGATCTCGGCTGCGTGAAGTCTGTTTCGACTGCATGCAGTTAATTCGTGAAGGTGTTACCAAGTGCATGCAGTCGAGATCTCGGCTGCATGGAGTTGATTACGACTTCACGCATTAAGTACAAACTTGCAGTTAACCTGTTATCAGCCTTTCATAGACTGGTGAGACTCCCCAATGTTACATTACGTATTGGGTGCAGTTCCACATCGGGATATCATTTTCATTTTGTATTCAAGCCTACTAACGCTAATCTTAATAGAATTTGTTACTAACACTATAGACAAGATTCGGAAATAAATAATAGGGGTTTAGATATGAAATTATTGCCGATTTATCGTACTGGCCACTTTGAATTAAAATTAAACCTGGATGGTGTCAGATTTCAAAGTGAAATATTTTTCACATGAAAACTTTATACATTCTTTTTTATTAAAAAAAAATGATATTTGATTGTTCGATTTTCAATTGTTTTTACATTCAGTTTTTAATGTGAAGATGGATACCGCTAAAATCAGAGTAATTTTCAAATACGAGTTCCCACATGGGGTTAACGCAGCAGAAAACTGTTCGTAATATCAATGCTGTATTTGAAAAGTACACGCCTAAGAAACGCACCATGCGTTTTTCGACAATATTCGAAATTTCGACTTGAAGAATGACCCACGACCAGTCACTAAGGTCAATAACGATGAATTGAATGTGATGATGGAAGCCAATCCGTATCAAACTACCAAGGAATTCGCGGCATGGTTTAATGTTAGCATACCCACAATATAACGTATGGCATTTGAACAATGACAGCGAAACTCGCAGCAAAGCATCTTCACCATTATTGCTCCATGATAACGCAACAACTCACACTGCCCGAGAAACGGTTTTAACACTGCAAGACCTGCAGTTAGAAACTATGCGTCATCCTACACACTCGCCGGACCTCGCCCCAATACAATTTTTTCCGCGATTTAGACTATTTTTTGCACGGAATAGTTATTTGTTATGCAAGGCTGCAAAGTTGCGAGTGCTAGTATTGAAACTGAGCAAGCGAAGGAATCTAAGTAGATTCCTAAGCGTAGCGAGAGTTTCAAGACACGAGACGCAAAACATTCTTGTTGCCGAGCGAAGCACATAAATTTTCACCTCACTATAGCGAGGAAAATGGTAGATGAAAAAAAACATCAACAACATTGAACTATAAAACATGAGCTTTTTTAAATTACAGAAAAAGTTTATCTTCGGATGCGTTCTGAATTTACATCCGTAGATAATTTTTATTCTTGCTTGTACTTTTATTTTGTGTGATTAAATGATTATTGAAATTATTTTAGTTCTTCGAGGTTTTAAAATAATTATAATAAGAATAAAATATACCAAACGATTTATATTACATAAATAAGTAATGTACGACAAATCGCGTAGTTAGTTTCAACTGAAGAAAAAGTTAGGTGCACCACAGTTCGTCGTCAAGTTCGAATTTCAAAAACCTTTTGCACACTAGCGTGCAAAAACCGCTTGTGCGGTTTTTGATTTCTAATGAGAAAGAAAGCCTTTCCGAGCTAGTGAAGTGAAAAAATAAAAAAATTCTTCCCAGGAAGCTGTACAAAATGCCTTCACACAACTTATGGAGTCCAAGTCTCTAGGAGTTTTATCGCAAAGGCTTAAATGACCTTCTGATTAGAAGGCAGAAATGTATAGACAACGAGGGTAAATACTTTGATTAAACAAATATATTTCATCTTACAAAAAAATTGTTTTAATTTTTCAGTACGAAACGGCAATTTGATACTTTAACCCTTAATACTTTATTATTATCAAACCTAGAATACCTTACACTATCTTGGTATATAGGACATTCAATAAGTTTATGGCAAAAGGGCATCGTTCTATCTCGGATCGCGTATTATTATTGTAGTTTCCAATGACCACTATGATGGATACAGACGTCGCAATAGATTGCCTGTGGAGTTCACCGCACGGTCTGTCTCCATTGCATTTATATACGATAAAATGTAGTAAATTGATTACCCAGTTACACAAATCGTCACCGACTGTATCAAGCTCTGTAAATCCTTTAGTAATCTTTAGTAACCTTTAGTAATCTGTGATTTAAATCCTTTGGTATAAATGTACAGATAACACAAGTTCTTAAGTAAAATATTCCCATAAACCAACTATATGTAGAGTACCAGATGACAGAATGTTCTGACTACTCAATAACAGAGTATGTATAATATAAATAAAACAGTTACTATGATTACCATAATAAATAATGAAAATATAAAAAAAGACTAGGCTGCATGGTTTAAAGATCTTTGCCTTTCCGCAAGGAAAAGTACATAATATAACATTAATAATTTCAACGACCCGACGGTTTTTTCTTTTACTTAATTTTTTTTTTGCTTTTTACTAATATAATAATTAAAAATAGTAAGCGGAAGGCCCGTGGGTCAAAAGGAAATGAATTGTATTGTGCAACTAATAGACTTTGCCAGGAGCTTTACGTTAATTCCCCAAGTATGTATAAATACCATTGATAAACATCCAATATGATCTGGCTGCCTAGCTCATTCCCAATAGGTATACACTGTCACGTCTGTCCACGGTACTACGGCACTGATACTCTTTGACAAAATTCAACACCAAAACAAAATACTACCACTGTTGATAATCTTTTGTTTGGAATATGTACTTTCTGTGAATGTTCTCGTCTGTAGATTGAAGTCTTTGTCATAAACCTCAAAAATGACGGTTTTCTAGCAATAGTTTCTTTGTGTGGTTATTCACTAAATTATTATCACGAATTACAGGTACCTAGGTAACCACGGTATGAGTTTTTTCTATTTTCCCGATATTTAGGATCATACGTATTGATAATGAAAAAGAGAAGACAAATAATGTATGTGCTCAACGCTATCACCTGTCACAGGCCAGTCATCAAGTAACCATGAAGCGTTTAAAATAAAACCATATCATGGTATGAAACCTGTAATTAGTGATAATCAATACTTAACAGATTATTATTTCTTAGTACAATTTTTTTCGCGAAATCGCGTATATTTGTTTTTTCAAACAAACCAATACCATCTCTGTCAGAGCTGTGACAATGGGAGCTGTAAAAGACGTTGGCTGAAGAAGATGGCTTGTTCAAAATGAATATAGGCGATGTAAATTCTAAATTATTCATTTCTTCGTATGTCTCCGTTTATTGGAAGAATGAATTTTACAGTGTAGCGGTATTTCTATTGAAGAAATTGAAACTTTATTTTTATTGGACGACCAATAATATTTTGTATGTATATTTGTAATTACACTGTTTTTTATATGTATGTATTGATATATTAGTGGCGATCATAATAATATTATTGACATTATACTTTGAATTGTAATAATGTGATATTTAATGATTATCTGGGAATACAATTTCTTTCTTATGAAGGAATACATCCGAGCATTTCCCGTATCTTTCAACATAAGTTTTGTTTATAGTGGACCTTCCCTGTCAACCTCCTGGTTATACGGGAAGAGCACTATAACCTGCGCAAGCAGTCTCGCACAGGGATCTACTCAGTCAGGTCCTGCCCCAGATCAACCCGTTTGCGCGGAGTTCATCCGGTGCTCAAGAGGCTAGTGCCTTGGATGAGCTGCCCCAGCTGTACCTTCCCTATTTTCCAGATAGGTATCGGAGTTGTAGGCAAGATCACTTTCTGTCGCGCCCTGCGCAACTAACGGTTGCCACCACACATTCGAGCAGTAGAAAATAATGATGCACAGTAATCAACTATAGCACAACATCTTACACAAAATAGATACTAACCACTGGATCGAGTTGCATAGTCCCCAAGTACTATCGAAGGAACGTCACTAGAGATACATACCATGTTTGGTACGAGAACAAAATGGCGGACTTTTGAAGTTACAAGTACAGTTTTTACACAGATAAATTTAACTTTAAATATATTATAAACAAAATATGGATAAAGAAATAGTGATGAAGAAAGTTAGAACAATATACCTTATTTTAAAAAAAAATGCAAAACACATATCTTGAAAATTCCAATGATTACGAATTCAAAATTTTATGTTCAAAACAATTAAATATTGACTCCCGCCTCTTAAAAGACTATTTAGAAAGACCAAACAAAAGAACTAAGTTATTTGAAAAAGTGAAAACATGGTGTTGTAGAACCACAATGGAAAATATTTAATGAGGATCCCGATAATCAAACGAAGACATGGCTCAAAGGACTAGTAGTAGTAGTAAAAAAATTGGTACAAAAAACACGTTGAGATTACGAAATGTCAAACGTTTAACCGTGAAGATGGATTCAAACTGTCCAGTGCGTGGAATCTGGTGCTTAGTTCTTACAACAATAATTCGAGTAATAATAACAAATTATAAACTTTTTATAAAAATAACTGACCGCAAAATTTTGTGGTCAAAATTACATCTATTTGATAAGTTTTGAATTGCAATATGTAAACGGAACGTTGGTGAAATCCAACCTGATTCATTCCCTGATTTGCATTCTTTCAATGTGAATGGGGCTACTAGTGAGGTACACTTTCCAACAAAAAAAGAATCATGGAAATTGGTTCACAAATCGCGTAACATCATTAAAAAAATCCATCCGTCCATTTTTTTTAAACCGGTCGAAAAAGCTTCGACTTCAGTTTCCCTTGTGGATTGAATGTGGTTTGTCGGCAAAAAGTGAGGGACAATGTTAACGCCAATAAAACGTTTTAACCACGAAACGTGCCTAATGCACTGTGTTGTACCGCTAACGTATCGTCCAAAACAAAGGAGACGAATGTTAAGATAGAAAGAGCCCGGAGCCAATAATTAGCTGTGTGGATTTACAACGACCGTCTGGCCAAATCGCCAAGTGGAAATATGAATTTTAAATTGTATTTTTGGCCTCGGGCCTGTGAGCTATGGAGCGTCTGGCGCCATGGATATAGCAGCTTATATTGTTTTTTTTTAATGTTAAATATTAAGAGTCAACACTACCTCAGTCCAAATTCAAATTTGTCCCGTACTAATACGGTCCATTTTGCTTGGATTGATCGGCTTAGACATTGGGTTTATTTCACAATTTATTTTTTACAAATGAATTTTTTTTTTCTGTCGTGAAAATTTTTACGAATCGTGTTTTCACACCATAGCGCACTGCTATTACAATAGTGTTATAACTGAAAATATGTGAAATTCAATATTATACCATTGTTAAACGTAAAATTTGATTCTGTACACGTCAATAAAACCGTCGTTACAATATTGTAGAAAACAACTAAAAGAGATCTACTTAACTACTTAACTCAAAATGAGACACGCCTTATGTGAGCTAGTTCTGGCCGAAATAGTCCTTATTCAAAAATATGAAATTATTTTTTTCTCTTTTATTTTTAAATATATACATTTGGCAAGTAGGAAATAACCTATACATAAATTTACACAGATCTTTCACGGGGAGGGAGTAATTCCTTTTTCGTCGATTCTGAGAAAAAACACTTTTTGAGTGCATACACTATTTTATGATAGTCCATCTGTTTAGGTACTTAAATAAATGTAAACAATCTTGAGATGTCTATTTAATGAAATATACATTTATAAAATGATTTTCCCTTACCTTCAAATACAAAATACAAATACTTAGCTTCATATGAAATTGCATGCTTATTTTTATACCTATTGATTTGTAAAGCATGTGTTTCAATAAAAAGATGTATCAAGATTGTTTACATTTAGTTAAGTACCTAAACCAAATGGACTATAACAGTGCGATATAGTAATCAGTGTATATATTTTTTCCGAAGTGATTGATTTAACACTTTCACTATTATACAGAATCAACCAAAGCCATTTGAGGTATAGACTCTTAAAAGAATCGTATTTTTTACATAGACGTCATTCATTCCTAATTACTTATTTTTAAATTTATACTTCTTTCCAATATATATTAACATCAACTCTAATAACCGTGACAGTATAGTCTTTAATTAAATTTTTATTGAATTGCTATTCAATTATTTTTTTCAATTATATTATTATTCCGGTCGTAAACCGACCGGATCGAAGGAGTTTTTTCCGAGTGTTTTTTCTGAGTGTTCGATCTTTGTATTAATAATTATAACAA